ATTTAGTAGTGTTTTTTAATGCGGCTGGCACTGCTAGCTCTAATCAAGCTCTACCTTAATTGAATCAATTAGATTCAATAAATTATTAAATATCTAAATTGAATAAAAGAGCTAGGTTCATTAATTAGATAAATCATGTGAAAAATTATATTATCTTGAAATTTATTAAAGTCAAAAAGTAGTCTTCAATTTATTCATGTGTTCACTGTTATTGCATAGTTTATTTGGTTTTCTCAAATATTTTTTTTATGTATAATATGTAAGCATTGTTATTAACATGCTATGGTTCAATCTAGAAAAGTCTTAGCTAAGACCTTGGGTTCATTTATATGTTGAATATTATAGTTTATTTGTATTGTAACTAGTAATAATAATATAATGAAACTTATTTGAATTGCAAGATAGTAATTTAATATCTATTAATAGCTAAATTGTCATAGCAATTATTGTAAAGGATGTTTTTTTTATAAGTTGTTCATGTAAGTCATTCTCATGATACTTATACCAACTTATAAACTTATACTTATTTGTATGTATGTGTATGATGGATGACCATGGTCAGGATATGGTCTTAGCAGCACCATTGTTAGGATATGGCTTGTTGATACATACATAGGCTGACGAATAAGTCTAAACCCATACGTTTTGGTCATACTATTGGCAGGATATGGTTATGATCTTAGCTTGTGCCATTGTTAGGATATGATTGTAGGTTACTCACATATGTATATTTTAAGTGTGTACCATGATACGAGCTTGAGATCTCGGGATCGATGGTTAGGGTTGGCGTATATTGCCAGATGAGATAGGTAGCTGGACATAATGATGTGTGTGCCCTGGTAGAAGAGGTATTCATGACCACCTTGCGTGCGCTTGTATGAGACTTACTGATAAGTGCTCAAATGTTGCACATTTTAGCACCTAAGTTAGGGTATTTTAATCCATTCATCTATCTTACTTTCCCTTTTTAGTTATAATTTGTGTTTTTGTCTATTTCAGTTAATAAGGTTCAAACAGGTCAAAAAGAGTCTATTAGTTCCTTTTTGGAGTCAAGAAGAAAATCTAAAAAAAGATAGAAAAACTGCATTGGATAGTCTTTGATCGATCAAAGTAGTTCCCGATCGAAGATCGAAATAAAGGAGGTGCCAGCTCAACAATCCAGATAAGGCCAAGAAGATATTTTTCATACCATGTCAACTTTGATCAATCGAAGCCATCTTTGATCGATCGAAGATCCTGCTAGCAGTGAGCTATTTTATTCCCGAGCATGCCCGAACTCCACCAACTTTTGTAGCTGTGGGATTAGACCAATGAAATGCCTATTTTTTGACTTGTTGCCTACTTAAAAAGGCTGCATTTTAATGAAATTGGACCATTTTGTTAAGGTTCAAACTTTTGTTCCCAACTTTAGCTAAAAATAGTATAGTTCTTAGATAATTTTGTCTCTCTAGATTTAGGTTTTTGGAGACCAAAGCAAGAGGAAGAAGATGGTGCTTACATTGAAGAAAGCCCTTGAGGGTTGGATGACAACAACCATGAGTGGTTAGATCCTTCTCTTGGGGCTAGAGATAGCCCCTATGGTTGCCTCCTAAACTTTTGTACTTTGTAATTTTTTGGGATTTTAGTTGTAATTGATGTTTTGACCTAAGATTATATAAATCTTGAGTTTTTACATGATTTATATGGATTAATTTTTTTAATTGATCTTTTATTTCTATTCATATATCTATGTATGTTAGAATGAATGGTCATGTGCTTACACTAGAATTTATGAGTTTAATGCATATCTATGTGTGGTGGAATTGTAAATCTAGTGATAGTCAAGGCATGGTGCTTAATTGATTACTCTTATGATTTATTTAATGGATTATACTCATTTCTTGATGGATTGTGCTACCTCAGTAGTTTAATTTTCTTGTTATTAGTATAATTATAGTGTAGTTGCTTTAAATTCCTAGATAGGTAGACAATCCATATTTGTTGTTTGATGATCCATGCTTATGAGTGCAAGTAGTACATTTGTCTAGATTTTAGTGTGCATTAATTGTAGGTTTATTGAATGGTTAATGGCTTAATTTGATAGGTTGTACTACTCACTAGCATGATTATACATTATATGCTTATTTTGTCATCAATTATTAGTATTTCAATTAATGGCACACACACTTGTTTTACAACATGGAATCCCCTAAATTGGCAAATGTAAATGTTTAATGAGGTGAATTTTAGTGGTGAATTGGAGCATGATATCTTAGCCACCCTCCCCATATGGCTGAGGGTGTATGACCTTCCAGTTCATGCTCGAAGTGGAACTTCTGTTTCCAAAATGATGTCAAACATTGCTAAACCTATATATATGGATGATATTGCTCTTTGTAGAGAGAGGGATTTATATGTTAGAGTTTTGGCAGAGATGGAGGTGGATGGTAAGTTCCCAGAAGTAATTAACACAACGTTGCATGGGCTACCTTGTAGAGTACAAGTTGAATATGAATGGAAGCCTCAAATATGTCGTCTGTGCAAGAAGATGGATCATAATGAGAGTCTGTGTCCATTAAACAAGATTAGAATTTCTAAACCTAAGGAGAAGTGGGTGGTGAAAAAACCCAAAAAGGAGAACATGGTAGTATCCAAGAAGAATGTTAGTGATAAGGGTATCTCAGAGGGGGATAAGGATGTTTTGAGTCCTATAGTAGAGATGATTGGGGAGGTGGATGGCTTTACAGTGCAAAGAAAATCAAAAGGCAAAGTTAAGGCAGTGTCTCGAGAATCAGAGTTACAAGTGGTCTCCTTGAATGCATTTCAAGTTCTTGATGAATTAACTAAGAGAGAGGAGGGAGGGGATCCTTAGTCAGCCTATGCAATAGAGATTGAAAAGTGTAATGAGGTAGCTGTATAGTCTGTGGAAAATATTCAAGAGTGTGCTACAAAAGGTGATCTCCAGATTACGGATAAAGTGCAAAATCTAGTGCAAGAGACTGAGGTGGGGGTTCCAGCATCACCAGAGGGAGGTAACTCTTCTTCAAAGAAGTAGAAAATGAAGAATAAAAAGAAGGAGGTAGAGATTGACCCTAGTGTGGCTAGAGTCACAAGTGGTATGATTGCAGAAAAAAGTGAAGGCCTGGTTTGGTAGAAACTAGGGTCAATAGTAGTAAGTTCCAGAGGTTGAAAGACAGAATTAGGAATAATTGGAGTTGGGATAATAATTATTCAGCTGATATAGGTGGAAGAATTTGGTATGGTTGGGATCCATTGAGACTTTATGTTTCAGTTTTACAGACTAGAGATTAGATGATGTTGTTGCAGGTAGAGGTTAGAGGGTCTAATAACAATTTTTTTGTGAATTTTGTGTATGCTAAGAATACTGATAAAGAAAGGAAAGCCTTGGGGAAAGATCTTGAGGATAGTGATCAGCTTATTGATGGGCCATGGCTTTTATTGGGGGATTGGAATGTAATCAGAGTTAACAAAGAGAAGAAAGGGGGGACACAACATCCGCCAAGAGTTTTTCAGGATTTTAATCAGACCATAGAAAACTTAAATTTTTCAGAAGTGCCAACATCTAATGGTGTGTTTACTTGGTGTAATAACAGGTACTCTAATAGGAGGATTTATACAAAGTTGGAAAGGGGTTTAATGAATGAGGAATGGAGGCAGGTTTTTCTAAATTCTCATATAATGTTAACACCTCATTGGACCTCAGATCACTAGGGTTTAAAGATGATGTTTCCTTTACAGATTGCTGATGGGCTAAAGCCATTTAGATTTCTTTGTGTGTGGAATCAACAACTTATAGTGGAAGACTTGATTACTGAGGTATGGAAGACAAAGACCAGTGGGGATCCAATCAAAAGACTTCTGTACAAGTTAAAGCTCACTAAACAAGCAGTAAGAGATTAGAACAAGGATAAGTTTGGTTCTTCTTATGAAGAAGCTATTTCTCATAGGAAGAAGCTAGCTGACATTCAATATCAGTTGAGGGATGATTCAATGAATGAGAGACTTATTCAGATTGAGAAGGAAGGTCGGATGTCTCTTGAAGCTGTTATATCAAATGAAATAATCTTACTGGCTTAGAAGTCCACGATCAAATGGGTGAAGGAGCAAGATAGATGTACTAAATTCTATTTCCAAAAAATCAAGCAACATAGAGCAAAGAACAATATCACTGTTATTCAAGAGGATGGGGTTTCCATTACTTATCCAAGTATCATTAAGAGCAAGTTTGTGGATCATTTTCTAATGATCAACCTACCTTTTATGTTCCATAAGCTAAATTTATAAGAAAAAAATTGTCTGCTGCAGAGATTACAATGTGAGAAGAGGCTGTCACTAGAGAAGAAATAAAGAGTATTGTGTTTTCTATAGGACCTGATAGAGCTCCAGGTCCTGATGGTTTCACTTTATGGATTTTTTAACATTTCTAGAGTATTATTGGTGAACATTTTACTGATGCTATTTTGCAATTTTTCTCCCATCCAGAATTTGGAAGAGGGACTAATAGTACATTCATTACTTTGATACAAAAGAAGAAAGATTCACTCAAGGTGGGTGATTATAGGCCAATATCATTGTGTAATGTATCTTATAAAGTCATTGCAAAGATTTTGGCAAATAAACTTGCTAAGGTGTTGGGGAAGATTGTGGATAAAGAGCAAAATGCATTCATTCAATGAAGAAAGATTCAGGACAACATTATTATGGCACATGAGCTAATGAGAGGGTTTGGGGCAAAGAGAACAAAGCCAACATTAGTATGGAAAATTGATTTAAGGAAGGCATATGATACAGTTCAATGGTCATTTTTGTTAAATATAATGAGGCTTTTTGGCTTTAGAAATACTTGGATTGCTTGGATTCAAGTTTGCTTATCCTCTGTTTGGTTCTCAATTATTATTAATGGTTCTCCTAATGGATTTTTTCAACCTGAAAGAGGGCATAGACAGGTTTTTCCATTATCCCCCCTTCTTTTCACTCTAGTCACTGAATTTTTTTCAGGTATGATTGATGCTAAGGTTAAGAGTGGTATAATTATTCCTTCAGATGCAATTATTAAAGCTGGTTTAACTATCACACACCAGTTCTTTGCAGATGATCTGTTAATGGTAGTCAGAGCTAATATGGCTACTGTCTTATGTTTGAAAAGAACTTTGGTGCACTTTGAAAAACTCTCTGGACTTGCTGTTAACAAAGATATATCAGAACTTTATTTTACCAGTTCTGTGAGAAGAAGATCTGTAGTGGTAAGGGCTTTGGGTTGTAAGGTGGGATCTCTACCATTTAATTACCTGGGCTTACCTATCTCTGGTAAGATGCTGAGAAGGCAAGATTGTACTAGCTTGATTGATAAAGTTATAGTTACTACCACCAGATGGAATGGCATGCACTTATCTATGGCTGGGAAAGTGGAGCTTAGCAGGACTGTAATTCTTCCTGTGGTGCTCTATTGGACCTCAGTTTATTCGTTACCTGCTGTGGTAATAAACTTAATTGAGAAACGAATGAGGAATTTTATTTAGGGGCATGCAGAAGACAGAAAGAGGATGCATGGTCTGAGATGGAAGAAGTTAGTTGCTCCTAAAGAAGAAGGTGGGTTAAGAATAAGAAGAATAGTAGACATTGATTCAGCTTCAAAATGCACTTTGGCTTGGGATTTTTTACAGTCTAAGGATAGAATCTGGGTGGCTTGGTTTGAAAAGCATTATTTAAAGCAGGCTTCTTTTTGGAATATTGTTCCAAAGATTACTTGTTCATCCATATGGAAGAGCATTATTGTAGTAAAGGATAGAATTAAACACAATTGCAGATATAGAATTGGGTCTGGACTTAATATCAAGGTGTTTTAGACCCTTGGTGTGATGGTCTACTTTTGAGGGAGTTATTTAATCACAGATTATTGAGTTATAGTAGTAGGAACAAATTGTGTTACTTAAGTGATTTTATTATCAACAATCAATGGAACGATGAGGTCTTGATGAATGCTTCTTAGGAGGTGCTGCAGGTGTTCCATAATCAGAAGATACACGGTGGAGTGGATGTATTGACTTGGAAGAATACTTTCAGTTTTAAGGCTGCTTGGGAGGTTTGCAGAACCAAAAATCAAGAGGTTAGCTAGAGTGGGATCTGTTAGAGTGGAGGTAGACCTCGATTGTAACGGCCCAAGTTTTGTAAACCTGGTGCGTCATTGATGACCAAAAGATGACCCGATAATGGATCCGAAATGCGAAAGTGAAAGGTGAAACAATGGTCTCTAGAGATACAATGCGTCTCTAAGACACCAATGTGACCCTCAATGAGGCCACAGAACCCAAAGGAAACAAATACAGAAGGGTCGTTTCAAAAACAGACAAAAAGAACCTAGGGGCAAAATGGTCATTTTGCAAAAAGTGGATCAAGTGCTATCGAGCACACCGCAAAATGGTCAACCCAAAGGAAACAAATACAGAAGGGTCATTTCGAAAACGGACAAAAAGAACCTAGGGGCAAAATGGTCATTTTGCAAAAAGTGGATCAAGTGCTATCGAGCACACCGCTTGGAAGACAATAAAAAATTAATCAAGTTCAAAAAAAAAGTTTACTCAATTTGGAGACGGGGGAGAAAGGTCAAAAACAAAAATGATGTCGTGGTGGCCCGACGAGGACAACCCATCATTGCTGCAACTGAGAGTAAAAACGGGCATCTAAACGGACTTTTTTGGAAAAAATCAAAGAAGAACCCCCCTAAAATCAAGTTTCCTACCCCGATCGCAGACGGAAACAAAAAAAATGCATTGTAAAATACCCAAAATGCCCCCAAGAAAATCAGGTCAAGAGGAAAAAAACTAATCCGAGCTACTGCCCAAGTTTTGGAAATAGTGCTTCGGGAGGTTTATAAATTGCCTAAATTGAAAATGCAATCTTAAAATGCACCCACAAGACCTCCGGAAGTTTCGGATTGGTCGTAACGATTTTCAAAAAAAAGTCGATGAATAGTACCAACTACATTTGTACTAAAAATTTGCAAAACCTAGCAGCAAGGATTTTTCGGAAAAATATTGATTTTTGAGGGCCAAGATGATGTTTTCTGGAAAAACACAAAGAAGAAACCCCCCCTCAAAATTGAGTTTTCTACGTGACTTGTGAGGAAAAAAGAAAAAAATGCATTATGAAATATCCGAAATGCCCTTGGAATAGAATAGGGTAAAACTCCCTAAAAATGCTACTTAAAGTTTTTGTTTCATCAAGGAAGGTATTGTTTGCCAAAGTGAGCATGCAAGTGTATGTAATATGAAAAAATAGATGTGCTACAATGGTCTATGGCCTTATTACAATACATTTACAACATTTGACATGTCAAACCTGCAAGTTAGAAAAATTAAATTTCATAGACAAATCATGAACATGCTAATACTTGTATGTGAACAAGAATGCTTCTAAAGAAGCTCAACTTAGCAAATCACCCAAGCAATTACAATCTCCAATCTTGTATCCTGTACCTAAAATATGCCCCAGTATCGTAGGGGTGAGTAACATAAAGCTACTCGTAGGAAATGAGCATGCATCAACCTAAAGTTTTACAAGTTGCATGATTTAATTATTGTGGTTCATTCCACCTAACGTCTATGTCAAGGTGAGACTCAGGGAGCATCCTAGCTACCTAAGATCATTTCTAATATCAATCACCTCATTCATGCAATTTTAACAACATAGGGTCATGCTTACACAAAGCAACAACATAGGAGCATGCTTACACAAAGCAACAACATAGTGGTTCTCAAGGTTATCAACTTGAAGTCTAAAATATAGCATCAACTAAATATAACAATTTAGCATAATTATAATATCTAATACCACACATCAAGACATAGATTCTCTAGGTTGCCAACTAGCAATCTAAAAGTGTGAAATCAACTAAATATATCAATTTAGTATGGATGTACTTAACAACATCAAATCGCCAATTACCAAAACCACAAGTCACAATTAAATATTGGTTGTCAACTTGGAATTGAATGCGAAATCAAATAGTGGAAGACTTGGACATCACAGCCCAGATTTCCGCCGAGACAAGACAAATTTAGAGCTACTAACCCCCAAGCAGCCTACCCAACGCGCGAACTTTTGACTTAGAGGACTCTTGTCCCCGTACTAGAGCCAAACCCTAGCCATCACAGCTTAACAATGTCTCAAGCAACTCCAAAATAAATAAGTTAACAACTTATATACGTATTAAACAGTACACGAAACTACCTTCATGCACAAGTAGGTTGTAACCACACAATACATGCTCTAAATCCACAATAACTATAGGATGACAATGTTGAATCTTCAGAGCGCGATTCGCTACGCGTTATAATAACATCACATGCTGAATCTTCAGTGTGCGATTCGCTACACGCTATAACAATATAATCCAATGTTAAAAACATAATTTATAAATCTATTACAAGTCTAAAATCATGCTTCAAACATACTATCAATGCCAATTTCAGGATTTAATCATTAAAGCAATAGAAACGGAATTTAATCAAATAAACTAATTAAATTCCCTAGCTTTCAAATCTCAATCAAATGGCCTGTAATCAATGTATATTATACAATATAGCATAGTATATACATACATTCACTAAAATCTCAATTAGGCCAATGGCACAACAAGGTAGAATTTAATTATATCATGATAATTAAACTTCTAAATTTCAAAGCAACTTCAAATGGTCCCAATTTAACATATACTAGTACACAAGTCCTAGTCATCATGATTATCAAGTAAAAAAACTTAATTGGGCCAAGGGAACCATTAAATAGATTTTAATTAATCATTTAATTTAAAATCTCTAGATTTTCATACTTGTCCAAATACTCTCAAATTAAAGTATGTTAACAAACATGCTAAGACTTAATTTAAAAGCATACTACAAGTTCATTTCATGAAAAGTATGGCCATGGGATTTAATCTTTCACCAAAGATAAATATTAAATAAAAAGTGCAATTCTTATTCAATTAATTCCAATTTAATATATGTTAACAAATATATTAAAACATGATTTTCTAGCATGCCACAATTCCATTCTAAGTTATACACATCCTTGTGAATTAAATTTCATACAAATAAATAATTAATACTAATTTTCTAGAATTGATACAAGGCATGCAATTAAGTTGTATAATCATACTAAACACTCAATACAACACACACAAAAGCCTAGAACATCCCCTACCTCAATTTGAGATGAAAATCTCAAAAGCCACCAATTGGAAACCGTTCCGAATCCGACGAAACTTCTAGGTTTTGTCGGGGACTACACCGTGCACATAACCCCCAAGGAAGCCCCATCAAAATCACAACTTGACTTCAAACCCAAACACAAAGAATGCTCAAAAATGGGTTCTAATAAGGGTGAAAGAAGCGCGTAGTCAACACGAACACTAAACGCAAAGTCCCTTCTATGTTCTGATGAAGGAATGAAGCTCAAAAGAGGAGAGAGAAGGTGGCAGCCTCCCTTGGGCTGCCATGGAAGCTTCAGGTCGTGCAAGAGAGTGGGGAAGATGAAAAAATAAAATATCTCACCCCCATTTTATAGAAATCTCAAAAAGTGCCCCGAACGGACCCCGCCAGGTCTGAAAAAGTGAAATTTGAGCATACGTGCTCAAATGACAAAACTCTATGAACAAAAAAGATTCAAAATAAGAAAATATGAACAATGGAAGAAACAGCGTCAAAAATCGAGTCCCGAGCAGAAATTTATGCCCCAAACAAGTTTGACGCTAATTGGGGCTAGAAACCCTGAAACTGGAAAACAATGACCAGAAGGAATTTCTAAGAGTACACGACTTGACAAAAAGTGAAAATGAATCCCGTACGAGGATCCAGGCTCAAAATAAGGCATTTAGCAATAACTTTCATTAATTGCACAATGGCCCCTCCAAAAAGTGAAAACTGCACTAATGGCCCAGAATGAAAATATCTTCTAAAAAATATTTTCTTAAAAACCCCTGAAATAAAATATCTTCAAAAGATATTTATAAAAAACACCCTAAGAAAAGAAAATAATTTCAAAGAATTTTGCATCTATGACCCTATGGACACCGGGAGCAACCAGAGTACTTTCTTGCAAAAGTAAAGATACGTATTTCGTGGAAAGCACTCAAGATGGAGATACATGAAGTCAAAAACCAACTCTGAACACAAGAAGTGTGGTTACGCCAACAAAGTGTCAAACGTGGAAAAGACAAAATAGGGAAAAGGACGAAATAGGGAAAAATACGAAAAGTGAATAGTGTCAAAAAATGAAAAATGTGGAAACAACTCGGTCCTCAAAGAAAGTTGTCAATCCCCAAAAAAGAGTCTCAGAAATCATTCCAGAGCACTCGAGACGACACTAAGCGAAGAGGAACTGAACTCAGAAAGGAAATACAACGGAAAAAAAATATCCGTGAAAATCCGGGTCATTACATCGATAGTCAATACATTTTGTTCTAGTGATGCATCATGCCGTTTTAACTCAGTCTTATATGAAGAGCAAAGGGTATTCACTA